TTTCCTCCTCAAGGACTTAACACCGAAGCACTGCACTAATCGCGCAACGCATCTGGCGTGCGATACCATGCACTAGGTGCATTGCCATTCAGTTTAATGGTGCCCCAATGCACCTCTCAGTGCCAGTGTGTTACAGCGCAGCGTAAAACCACATATTGCAAAGTGAGAAAATACTGTAGTAGTGCATGTAATACTTTTTCTCACTACACCATTTCCGGGTGCTGATCAAATGAATGGCAATGCACCTAGCCCCACACATAACTGTGCGTTTAACGTACATTAAATGAATGGTAATGTGGGATAAGTGCAACCCTTCAGTGTGAATTGGCCCTTAAAGGGGAACCCCCCCTTTTTTCCCCCATATGCCCTCATACCTGTTAGGCAAGGTTACTTTCAGAAAACATACTCACCAGACCATCAAATCCAGCGTTGTCCTGCTGCAATCTACAGAAATGTGGAATTAATGCGCTCCAGTGTAAATGGGCCCTAAAGACGAGTATCTACAAATTTACTCCAATGCATTAGACCTTGAGGATTATTTACCAACAATTCACTTCCAGCATCCAATCATGTGGAAAGAAAATCCCGTCTGTACCGATTTTATCTGCACACGACTGCACTATTGAAGTGAATATTGTCTCAACATACTCAAATAAGCCTCAATGTCTCCAGTGAGACCAGCAAGTTTTTTTTTTTCCAGACAATGTATATTGATTCTATTAGAATTATCCATCACACAGACATGCATGGAAGTCAGCCGAGTTACTTTCCTATGGCTTAGTTTGACAGCATTGTCAGGATTGCTCCCAGACAAGTCCAAAGTCTGTATTTTGTGATTGGCGGTAACAGAAAAGCAAGCAGATTTAACCGGCTTTATTTTTCAAGCACATACATTCAAACAGACAATCCATCACCAGTCAGCAATAGAAATGCAAGAAAATAAAACATGATGGGGGTTGAGCAGGTTACAAATACGAGATCTAGTTCTACGTTTGTTATAAAACAATCTCCAAAAATTTATTTTATAGGACACTAGCTACATATAACCCCCAGCACCCATAGCTGTCAGAATACCTCAACAGTCAATGTGGCTGATTGGACAACAATTTTGCTCCCTGCTCCTTTGTCAAGTCTATTTAAACAAAAAAAAGGGACTTGTTGAACCAAGTGGTACCAGCAGGGCCACCCATTGATTGAATTTTGTCCGATTCAGCAGTAAACGGTTTCCTTTGTAGCAGAAATCGACTTTTTTCCCCAAAGTGCAATCATTTCTAGTCTCAATCTGCACAGAAATTCAAAGAGAAAAGTCCACACTAAACCAATGTTAATTGATACATATGCACAGGGTAAACCGGTATAAAAAGGTAAGGTTCGCTGTAAGGTCTGATCCTGATGTGTTACCCATATGATGGATAAATGAAAGCAATATAAGACCAACCTTGAGATGGAGGTAGTGCAAGAATTAGGATATCACACTCTGAAATAAAAGATCTACAAATGTTTGATTTTGTAACACTAGCTAGTACTACTACCCATATATGATGGATCCATATTATTTATAAATTACAGTAATATACAGCTGACCTTGGGGATGGTTCAGTTAGGATATCCCGCTCTGATATCTGATCGGGACATTACACTCTGATATCGGATTCGATCTGGAACTCTAATATCTGAACTGACTGGGATATATCCAACTCCAATATCTAATCGGGACATTACACTCTGATATCTGATGAGGATCTGGAACTCTGATATCGGATACGATCAGGACATTGCACTCTGATATCTGAAGTTAACCCTGATAACCCTGCCTGTCACACATGGTAGCACAGAGACATGATTTATGCAGTATATCAGGTGTATTATTGTACTCAGCACTGACAGAGCACACACTGCAGTGTGGGCATCATCCCCAGCTACATGAAGCTGATCAGACCCTGCTCCCGTCATTTTGACCCAATAGATCAATACACAGCCTGGCTCCATCTAGCCAGATCTAAGCGAGCAGGCAGATGTAAGCATGCACCATGCCAGCTTTAATGGTAAACCTACAGAGAAGAGAGCTGATAACATCATGACAGTTAGACGACAGGCAGACGTGTGCCTTACCTCCTGCAGATGACGAATTGCTGCAGCCCATGCTGGATGAATGTCCCGGCGGAGTCACACAATACAGCTGTAGAGAAGGATGTCGGTGTGCGATGTAGCGGCGAGGTGGAGAAGCTGTGTGTAATGTATGGACAGGGAACCCAAGTGACGGGAAGAGCGAGCACAACACCCGCAGCATACTATACGAGTGTCAGAAAAGGGCTGGCCAATCACAGCTCGGGGACTCCTCCTAGGCTGAAGCCTATTGGTTTATTTCCAAGAGCGGGAGTTTAAGGGAGGAAGGTTGTGGAAGAGCAGTGCTCTGATTATTCCTAGTAATAGGCAGTTGCTTGATTGCAAAGGGGATTAATGCAGGGAGCCTACAGATAATGAAAGGAGAAGGAAGCCCTAAATGAATGAATGGCATTTATTTTCTAAATAGGAGCAGACAGAATTTGGAGCAATTGTTCATAGTAACCAATTAGATTCTCTCTTCAGTTTCTTCAATTAAGCTTTAAAAAATGAATGGTAGAAGCGGATTGGTTACCTATAAATCCTACCAGACCTAAAGGGTCTAGTATGAATTGGGGAGGGGACTCCAAGCTGTTTTGTTGTTGTTTTTTTTTTAAGTTTAAAGGAGAACTATAGGGTTAAGGCTTTTCCCCATAGTTCTCCTTAGGGTAACGGGAGGACACAAACTAGCGTCCTCCCCACACCCTAGGCTCAGTATACCGCGAGCTGCTGCTCGCGGTATACTGAGACGCCGCAGCTGAAGCGGATCCCGACAATTGTGCCGGGATCCGCCCAGCTGCGTGACTGACAGCTATCTAGAGGCAGAGCCAGCTGTTCCCGCCCCCTCCCCCATCCGTTCCGCCAGTCAGCGCTATCGGAGCGGGGCGGGGGGAATCCAGCCCCTCCCCTGTCACGGCAGAGAGCTCTGACAGGATCAAGAGGTGAGCAAACGCCGGTATATGTTCGCTCACCTCGCGATCTACTGAGCTGACCTGTGACAGTCTCATTGTCACAGGTCGGCTAGAACTATGAGGTGAGTGAAAAGCACTCACCTCATAGTTCTCCTTTTAATAACAAAAGTTCATTCCGAATGACATTCTGGAAAAATTTTGGATGCATCTGAATTTCATTACCAGAAAAATTGGATATGTTTGGAATTGTTACTTCTTTCATTTGGAAATTCAGATGCACCCAAATTTGCCGATATTCGTCCAAATTTCAATTCAGAGCAAAACGTATCGCACATGTCTAGGAAGAACCTGTACATTGCTGTATGTGCTGGGTACAGGATATGGGGGGAAATCCAATGTGTGTGCTGGGGTGGGATACAGGGGAAAGACCAGTGTGTGTGCAGGGGTGGGATTAGGGTTGCCACCTTTTCTTCAAGTAATACCTGAACACTGTAGTGCTGCACGTGGCACTTTTCTTTTTTTTGGAGTATATAGAGGAAAGAGCGAGGAGAGGCAGCCAGGAGAGAGAGCAAGGAGAGACAGCCAGGGGAGGGAGTAAGGAGATCGGCCATAGAGGACTGTAAATCCCAGCAATACATTATACAGCAATACAAAATTATATAAAGCTACATACTCTGTGTTGCTCCGGGGTGGCAGCCTGATGTCTCCAGGGTCTCAAGTGGCCTGTGCGGGCTCTCACCAGGGCTGTGCATGCTCTCAGGCTGACTATGCAGGCTCTCAGGAGGGCTGTGCGGACTATCAGTTGGGCTGTGCGGGGTCTCAGGTGGGCTGTGCGGGCTTTCAGGTGGGCTGTGTGGGCTCTCAGGTGGGCTGTGTGGACTCTCAGGGGGGCGATGTGAATTCTCAGGTGGACTATTTGAACTCTCAGGTGGGCTGTGCGGACTCTCAGGTGGGCTATGCGGGCTCTCGGCTGGGCTGTGCGGGCTCTCATGTGGGGCGATGCGAACTCTCAGGTGGACTATTTGAACTCTCAGGTGGGCTATGCGGACTCTTAGGTGGGCTATGCTGGCTCTCAGGTGAGCTGTGCAAGCTCTCAGGAGGGCTGTGTGGACTCTCAGGGGGGCGATGCAAACTCTCAGGTGGAATATTCAAAATCTCAGGTGGGCTATGCGGATTCTCAAGTGGGCTATGCGGATTCTCAAGTGGGCTATGCGCACTCTCAGGTGGGCCGTGCGGACTCTCTGGTGGGCTGTGCGGGCTCTCAGGTGGGCTTTCAGGGGGGCGTTGTGAACTCTGAGGCGGACTATTCGAACTCTCAGGTAGGCTATGCAGACACTCAGGTGGGCTATGTGGCCTCTCAGGTGGGCTATGTGGCCTCTCAGGTGGGCTATGTGGCCTCTCAGGTGGGCTATGCGGACTCTTTGGCGGGCTATGCAGACTCTTTGGCGGGCTATGCGGACTCTTTGGCAGGCTATGCAGACTCTCTGGTGGGCTATGCGGGCTCTCAGGTGGGCTATGCGGGCTCTCAGGTGGGCTATGCAGACTCTCTGGTGGACTGTGCAGACACAGAGACTTTAGCTGTAAAATTGTGTAAGAAAACATAAAAGCAGCCAAGGGTCTCATTCAAAGTGAATGAAACTGTTGTAGGGCTGCAGAAAGGCATGTACAATATCTCTGTTAACCACAGAGGCTGACAGCCACACACAGATGACAGATACAGATAGAGATACAAGACGAAGACAAGCTGAAATACCTTTGCCATGCTGAGACACTGCCAGGACTGTACCACCTTCTACAATGGGGAAGGGGGGGGGGTGAAGGTGCAGAATCTGCTCATCAATTAACCGAGTTATTTACATATGAATGAGTATCAGACTTATTTATATGTAAATAGCAACACCCATTCATATGTAAATATCACAGCAAAGACTATTTTTCATTGGGGAACCAGTATCCCCTACCATAATTTTGGAATGTCCCTGTCTGCCTGATAAGTTGTGTCTGGGTCTCAGCTGCTATGTAACCCGGACACAGCCTTCTAAACCCAGACTGTCCGGGTCAATCCCAGACTTGTGGAAACCCTAGGTGGGATACAGGGGAAAGACCAGTGTGTACTGGAGGTGGGATACAGGAAAAAGACCAGTGCGTGCTGGGGGTGGGTTTCAGGAAAAATACCAGTGTGTACTGGAGGTGGGATACACGAAAAAGACCAGTGCGTGCTGGGGGTGGATTTCAGGAAAAATACCTATGTGTGAAGGACATGGGATCTTTGGTAGAACATGCTCCGTTCAGCTAAATCCAGCATACTGATGGAATCCCCCAATAAAAAAGCAAACTCCACTTTCCAGATGAATGGCATGACACATTAATTTTTGTGTTTCTGATTGAATGTAAGTCTCTAGACAGTGGTAATCCTTCCTGCACTTGCCCATGCTGGACACATTGGTTTTAGTAAAGATACCATAGAAAGAATTGAGGGTTTGGATACAGGAGCAGAAACCCTGCTAAAGGAGAGAGCTGCAATGATTTTGGTGATTGGTGTTCTTGGTGAAATACACAAAGCACACCAAGATTCAAGTAAGACTACACATGCCTTAAAAAATGTAGGCAATATTTGTGTATCCCAGAGTTCAGTTTTAGACAAAAACCAAAGTATCCAAAACCGCAAAGAAGCATGCTATTTGCCGCATGCAAGGAATAAATCCAAATCATTTCAAGGGGAGCCTTATGCCTTTACCCGTAGACTTAACCCTTGTAGTGTTGGAGGCAGGGGCTGGGTGCACTTGAAGGGTAGTTTGTGTGTAATTCCCAGAGTTCAGCTTTAAAAGAAGCCTGCACCCCAACCCTGCATATTTACATCCTAGTGGAAACAACTGTAGCAAGTTGATATTTGACCTTGTAGCAGGGATACATTTAGATGCATAATACATATTCCGATAGCAGGAGAATTCTTACATTAAAAGTAGCATTATTTCTTGTGACCTTTAAAATGTCTTTATATTTCATTTTCTGAACTCATTGCATAAAGTTATGAAAGAGCCGTATTGTGCCAGCTCTGTTTCAGCAAACACTGGCTCGTCTGTAAAACATACAATGTTGCCTGTTTATGGGAGCAAAATTGTCAAATTCAGAGGGTACATTAGAGCTGAACTCTGAGATAAGTAAATATTGTCTAAATATAAGAGTCATGTGTATTTTCACTTGAATCTCGGTGTGTTTTGTGTATCTCTTCCAGATCTGTGCAGTAATCCAGTGTGACACTTTATCCCTGTACAGGATCTTCTTGTAATAAAGACCAGTCACTGCTGCTCTCTCTCCTTGTGCAGGGTAACAGGTCTTGTCTTCACCTCCTGTATTCTACAGACAGCCGGTAGCGGGTGGAACTGCAGGGCCCCTCCCACAGCACTGCTCTCTGCACAGGCTATGTGCAGCACGCTGATTATATTCCTGCTACATTTACAAGGTAATAAATGTGTTAAAAAAAGGCATTTGCTGTACCTGAAGAGGATTGTTATCCCTAACAATGCCTGCATCCAATCAGATTGCTCAGGTATTTTGACAGCCAGCTGGGCCGACTAGCAAGATACTGAAGCTTGGCCCAGTGGGAGGTTCCTCCATCCACACAGTTTAGCGTAGATGATGGAATCTGTTGCACCTTTTCCATCTGACCATAGAAAATCTGCAGATAATCTATACGCGTATGGCCAGCTTTACTGTCTGTGCTCCCATTTGGGGAAATCTCCCCTCACTTCCTGTGCCGGTGACGGGTTCAGAGTAATTGCTGCAAACAAACATGAGCCCTAAGCCTCATTCACTTAGGCAGTGATGGGGCAGTAAAACTGCACGGCTTTGCGCTCCCCTTTCTTTCATACAAGAAGTATGGTGCATAACTAAATTCACAAAGAAATAACTTGTTCCTCTAAATACTTAAAAGAGAACTATGGCCATACCTTTTTTGACTTTAGTTCTCTTTAGCATCACAGGAGGACATCTAATAATGTACTCCTGTGACCCAAAACTCAGCACATAGCGGCATATATGCTGACAACGCAGAGCCGCGCTGCAGCCAGGAAGTATCCCGACAATATTATCAGGATCCACCACTCTGCCTGATTGACAGCTGGCTCTGCCTCTC